GTATTTAATAATATATAAATAATCAATTTTATTATTATATTAATTATATAAAATTAAAAATAATTTACATATAAAATTAAAATGTTATTTTTTTAATTAATTAGCATCTTATAAATAGATGCTAAAAAATGTATTAATTTATTATTAAAATTAATATATAAATAATATTAATTATAGATTCAAAATGAACTAAACAATATAAATATTATATAAATATTAAAATAGATACATGTAATCATTAAATGTTTTTATTTAATTATAAAAAATATAAATTAATATTTATACAAAATATAAAACAATGTATATAAAAAAATTTAAGTGTCAATAATAAAATTACTAATTATTATTAATATTTTATTGTTATAATTTACTATTTAACAATTTTAATTTTCTATAATTTTTGATATAAATAGTGTTAACTAATTTTTATAATTATTTTTTTTTATAGAATTGATTTTAAAAATATAAATATTTTAATTGATTTTTAAAAATAACTATAAGCTTAATAAACTTAAAATTTAATCTACATATCTTCTAGTTATTATCATACAAACAACGAGAGATCATGTATTAGTTTTGTTACATCTATTATAATCACAAATCATATTAATAATATTATTATATAGTATTATTGTAGTGTAGTATATTATTGTGAATTTATTTGTATTATAGTATTTAAAATTAGAATAAAATAGATTAAAAATATAACTAAAATTTTAATATTTAATAAAATTAATAAATTATCTTGCATAATTATGGAAAAATTAATTAGAAATGTAATTTCTATTGTACTTATAAGATATCTAAGATATAGATAACTGGGTTCATAGTAGACAACTGGTCGGACAATATTATCTAAATAGTGTACAGTATTTACTATAGTATTAGCCGTAATAGATGACAATCAATGTATTTAGTAGGACTGTAGGGCCTATAGCTAGTCGGGCCAGTTTAGTATCCGACCAAACAAACCAAAATTGAGGCCACTCTCTAAATTTGACTACAAGTGCCCAGAAAAATATGATAACAATGAATAGTATACGTGCGGCCGATAAATCAGCCAGATTTTCGTTGACCACAATATATTTGTTTTATTTATTTTTTTTATGTTTAAAAATTTATATCCAATTAATAAATTTTGATATTAATATCAATGGTATATTAAAATGGTAACGGTATAGCCAATAGAAATTGAACGACAATTAATACTGGAAATATTACTAGATAATAAATAAATTTACCCTCGGGTAAATGGGGGTAAGTGGGTGCTTATAAAACAATAATTTTATCACCAACTCACATAATTTTGTTTAGTTATTTAATATTTTAATATCTATAACTTAATTAGTTATATTAGTTTTGTTGCATTCATTATAATCGCATACACATATAGAGTACAGACATGTAAAATGCAAAATGTATTGAATCTACTGATGATTACTTGGGATCTACTGATTGATTGATTGATTTAATTAATTAGTTGACAACAAATATGACAATCATTTTTACAGTTATTATTATTATTAATTATTATCACAAAAATTTAATTAATTAATTAATTAATAGTTTATTAGAGAGAAAAACAACTCATTTAACAAAAATAGTTATTATTTAAAAAAACGAAAAATATTTATTTATTTATTTATTTATATATTTCAAGATTTTTTTATTTTTATGTATGTGTATGTGTATGTGTATGTGTATGTGTATGTGTATGTGTATGTGTATGTGTATGTGTATGTGTATGTGTATGTGTATGTGTATGTGTATGTGTATGTGTATGTGTATGTGTATGTGTATGTGTATGTGTATGTGTATGTGTATGTGTATGTGTATGTGTATGTGTATGTGTATGTGTATGTGTATGTGTATGTGTATGTGTATGTGTATGTGTATGTGTATGTGTATGTGTATGTGTATGTGTATGTGTATGTGTATGTGTATGTGTATGTGTATGTGTATGTGTATGTGTATGTGTATGTGTATGTGTATGTGTATGTGTATGTGTATGTGTATGTGTATGTGTATGTGTATGTGTATGTGTATGTGTATGTGTATGTGTATGTGTATGTGTATGTGTATGTGTATGTGTATGTGTATGTGTATGTGTATGTGTATGTGTATGTGTATGTGTATGTGTATGTGTATGTGTATGTGTATGTGTATGTGTATGTGTATGTGTATGTGTATGTGTATGTGTATGTGTATGTGTATGTGTATGTGTATGTGTATGTGTATGTGTATGTGTATGTGTATGTGTATGTGTGTGTATGTGTATGTGTATGTGTATGTGTATGTGTATGTGTATGTGTATGTGTATGTGTGTGTGTGTATGTGTATGTGTGTGTGTGTATGTGTATGTGTATGTGTATGTGTATGTGTATGTGTATGTGTATGTGTATGTGTATGTGTATGTGTATGTGTATGTGTATGTGTATGTGTATGTGTATGTGTATGTGTATGTGTATGTGTATGTGTATGTGTATGTGTATGTGTATGTGTATGTGTATGTGTATGTGTATGTGTATGTGTATGTGTATGTGTATGTGTGTATTTTTTAGATACAGATTTATTAAGATTATGACACAACTATATTCAAGTAATTATACTTTCAAATAAAATAAAAAAATATTTATTTAATAATTATTAATTAGTTAACAATTTATAAAAATTATTTAAAAATTATATTATAGTAAAATTTAGATATATAAGGATTTTATAAATAACATATTTATCAGTTATATAAATATTGTTATTATTAATTAAATTTAATGGCAAACATATTTGCGCCGTTGAATCATCCAAGCACATGAACCCGTACCGGGAGGACAGCCCTGGCCACGACAGTCCTGATTACGATCTCGACCGTTTGAATCTAGATTCTGTGCATCAGTCAAACAGGACATATAGACAATGATGACCATCAGTGCCAACATAAACCACCGATGATTGTTATTACCAATTGATGAACCGTTTATATGATTATTGATCATGGTCAATATCGACATCAATTGATTTTCTATATTATAAATATATTAAAAAATTTAAGCTAAATAAATATTATTAAATAATAAGCAAATTAAATAAATAGCAAAWTATATATATATATATATATATATATATATATATATATATATAGATTAACTAAACAATATTTAACTAACTAATTATTAAAAAAATAACTATAATTTTTTGTATACCTGTTAGTTATTTAGTAGTTTTTTTAAATAAAAAAATTGTTTTTTTTGTAAGTTATAACTTTAAAAAATTTTTAGAAAAAAACAACCGATATTTATAGGTATGTAAAGTTGGTTAATGATGTAATTTATTTTTGTAGAAAAAAAGGAAATTAAAATTTAAATATGTTTTTTAATTAAGTAATAGATATAGTTACAAAAAAAACAACAATATTAATTACATATAAAAATTTTTTTTTAAATCTTATTAATTATAAAAATCTAATATTTTTTTATAATATTATTTTCATGTATTATATAAAGGGTTAAGCAAGATTTTGGATTAATGTAATCATTATTTTTTTAATTATTTTTGTTTTTTATTTATTTAAATCTGATTGTTTTGATGATTTACAACAATATTAAAAAAATCATCATATTTTGTAGAAATATAAAACTTTGTAAAATAAAACAAATATAGTATACATAAGTATTTTTTAATATTGATTTTAATAAAAAACTGTTGACGCTTTTACTACTAGAAAATTAATTTTTTTTAATTAAAAAACATATTTTTGTTAAATTTTTTTTGTATAGTAAAAGTAGAGATGGGCAAATAGAAAGTTTCTAATAAATTTCCCCGAGAAAGTTTCTAGAAAGTTTCTCAGGAATAAATTTCTATAGAAATTTAACTTTATTAGTATACTATGGGATACCCATATCTATAGATATTATAATACTTTATTAATGAGACATAATACTATACATATATTATACAAAATGGGATACATATATATAAAATAATTATAATTATTTAATAATAAGCAGTTTTGTTAAATTTTATTCATCATTCTAATATACAGTGTGTATATATATATGTATATATATATGTATATATATATGTATATATATATGTATATATATATGTATATATATATGTATATATATATGTATATATATATGTATATATATATGTATATATATATGTATATATATATATGTATATATATATGTATATATATATATGTATATATATATGTATATATATATATATCATAGTCTAATATAATTAAATAAATAAATTTTTTACTTTAATTAATAATCAAAATACTAATACTTATATTTAATAATTACTTGTAAAAACAATGTAAAAAAGTTATCAAATATCGAGAAAACAAAATTAACCATGGGGATCCCATAGAAATAAATTTCTTTTAGAAACTTTCTAGAAATTTCCCTGTTATTTTATAAATTTCTTTTTTTTTGCCAACACTAAGTAAAAGTGTTAATAATTTTATTAATATTAAGAAATACTTGATTTTTTGTGGTTTTATTTTTCAAACGTAATTGTAAAATAAAACAAATAAAAAAACATAAGTATTTTTGAATATTAATAATAAGCGTTTACTACTAATTTTTAATTAAAAAAAACATATTTTAAAAATTATATTAATTATAATATTTAGTTGTAATAATATATATTTAAAAAAATCTAAATAATAGTTAATTTTATTATTAATAATATAGAAAAATATATATATAATTAAAAATCTACATTTATATCCTTATTATTTTTAATTAAACCAAAAACAAATTAAACACAAAATCAGTTACAATTTTTTTTAAAATTAAACTATACATAAAAATAATACTAATAATCATATTTATTTGTTTATTTATTTGTTTATTTTTAAATATCAAATTGTATTTTATTTATAATAAATATTTTAAAATACAGAGATACACTTTATATATATAGAAAAAATAAAAATAACAGTTATATAAAATCTAAAAAAAATGTTATATAAATTTATGTTATATAATATAATTTTTGGTTTGTTTTTTTAGCTAATTAAAAAATTATTATAATTTTTTTTTTTTGAAAATAAAAAAACTAGATTAAACTAAACATTTTTGTTAGGTTTATGGGGTTAGTTAGTTAGTTTTTTTTTAGTCCCAACCCAACCCAACCAACCAACCAACCAAAAAAACACCTTATCTTCATTCAATACAAGCATATTCTTCGCCATCGTGTGTACAGACATCATTACCATTACAGCTGTCGCCTAATTCATGACATTCATCCATACGGACAGCCGGTATCATAACAGATAGCATTATTATGGAAACAACAGCAACCAAACTGGCCATCAGTTTCATCATTGATAGCCAGCTGCTCACAGTGTTGATTTGTCTACCACTACCACCTGATCCTCGACCACCGATAGTAGTAGTAGCCATTACTAAACCGTTACCGTTAGTGGTGGTGGTGGTCATCATGACAGCCATCATTGTTATCATTATTATCATCTTCATCGACAACATTGTTCAGCAGATAATTTTGTTTTGTTTTTTTAAAGTTAAAGTCCTATTGAATTGAATAATAAAAATAATTATAGAATAATAATAATAATAATAATAATAATAATAATAATAATATAATATATTGTTATATATATAAACTATATATATATATATATAATTTATGTACTGTATATAATATTAAGCAAAAAAAAATCTAATAATCTAATGTAAAAAATTTTACTATAATAAAATTACTTAACCTTTTAGTTTTAACTAACTATAACTAACTAACTAAGAAACAAGCAAGTATTAGATACTTATATGTTTTAAAAAAAATAAAATCTAAATTATTTTTTTTAATTACTAATATTACTTCTATATTAGTAATTATATTACTAATGCATCACGTAAATTTTTATTTAATTTAATTTTTTTTTGATAATTTAAATATGTTTACTTAAATCGCATGTATATGTGTATAAATATATTATAGGTTAAAGCAAGTGGGTATAGAGGGGAGGGGATAGTTTAATGTGAAAATTATTTACAAATAATTTATATATATATATATATTAATAAATATAAATACAATATGTATATATAAATTGTATGCTATATATCTATACTTTAAATTATAGTAAAATAATATTGATTAGATTGTTGATAGGGTTCGGTGAATATATGTTTTATTTAAAAATTAAAATATATATATATATATATAAATTTACCTAAAATTTAAGCAATTAAAATAAGTTTATTTTTCTAAATACATATTCTTCTTAATTTACAATTAATTAAATTTAAAATATATAGAAAACAATTTAAACTGATATTATAACTTATAACTTATATCTTTATATATTTTTTAGTGTTATTTAGATATTAGTTTTTACTAATATTTATATTTTTAATTGTTGTTATCTAAATAATTTACATATAATACATTACAGTATATAACGGTTAATGAATTAATATATTAATATACTTTATATATACTCTCTCTCTCTCTCTTTCTCTCTCTCTCTCTCTCTCTCTCTCTTTCTCTCTCTCTATCTATCTATCTATCTATCTATCTATCTCTCCATCTCTCTCTCTCTCTCTCTCTCTCTCTCTCTCTCTTTCTTTCTCTCTTTCTTTCTCTCTCTCTCTCTCTCTCTCTCTATCTCTCTCTCTCTCTCTCTCTCTGTCAATAATATTGTTATATATATAATTTATATTTTGTATAAACTTTATATAATTTAATAATTATGAAATTTAATGTTAATATTTTATTATAAATATAATACTTAACCTTTTATTTTAACTAAGTTTAAAAATGTATATATTTTTATGTAAAACAAATTATTGTAAATAAATATTTATTTTTGTAAATATTTTATTTATTATTATTATATAATAATTTTTTGAAAAAACTTTTTCAACCATCAATTAATATAATATTTTATAATACATAATACTAAATAAATATTTATTAATAATTTATTTTATAAATGTTGTAATTTATGTTTTTATTATATATATATATATATATATATTAAATTTTTCTTTAATTTCTATTTAAATAATTATAATTTATATAATATTAATAATTTATTTTTATTAATAAAAAAAATAAATTAACTTAATATTTATATATATTTCTACAAACAAACAATTAAAATATTATGCTATCATTTCAATGCCATAACTTGCGAGTCGTGTAAATCATTTTTCAGGAGAAATGCATTAAAATATAAAGTAATTGGAAATTATTAGTTATTATTAATATTTTAATTTATTATATATAAAATATTATGTTTTTTTTTATTTTAAATAATTAATTTCTAATATCATAGGATCGATACAAATGCTATTCGGGCGGCAATTGTATGATAACTGTTGACAATCGGATCAAATGCAAGAAATGCCGACTCGACCGGTGTTTTTCAGTCGGTATGAAAACTGTATGAAATATTTTTTAACGAATAAATATAACTCTTTATCTTAATTCAAATCAAAATTAATTTAAATATTTGATTAA